GGGAAAGAGAGAAAATGGAGACGTATTTAAAAACCTAAGCGTTTCAGATTAGCCCGCGTTGCACAACCACCGATTCTTGTCTTTTCACCTTGCCAGCTTTTACTCTTACTTCGAAATTGTCTGAGATCAGCTTCGTGGTCAGGATGTCTCATTGGCCGATAACCTTGTGGCGAGCACAAGCCTTTCTGTTCCCTGTAAAATTGTTCGTATCCACCGTGCAGCAGATAAACTTCCGGATAATAGAGAGCCGGATAACGTTCTTTGTTACGTTGTCGGTCTAAACTTCGTAGAAATCGTGAAAGATTTGGACCGCGTTCCCAGGAAAATTCACAGTGGAACACTAGAATATTTCTTTTATTTGTATCCGGTTGGATTTCAGGTGTACTCGTCAATGGATCTAACAGAATTTTCTCTATGAGATCTTTACTGTAAAGATTCAGGGCACCTTGAATGTGTCCGGCATCGAACTCGTACGGATAACGGCAATCGACAATTTTGAACGAACCGATTTGATTCTTAAATTCGCCGCTTATCAAAGCGGCTAAGGTGTTGGTGGAAATCGATTTCAAATCTTCGTGATGACCGGCAGCCAACGGTAGGACACACGGTTTGCTAAAATCACCCGTAAGATCGGTATCGGTAGTGCTACGATGAATAGCCGATTTAATCTGAGCATGCGTCTCTAATTCCGATCGTATTTCTGTCCCTGTCTCCGTTTCCATTTCCGTCTCCATTCCCGTCTCCATTTCCGTCTCCATTCCCGTCTCCATTTCCGTCTCCATTTCCGTCTCCATTTCCGTCTCCATTTCCATTTCTATTTTCCCCGTCATTTTCCCCGTTCCCGATTTGGCAAAACTCCTTTGTAACGGTATGTAGTTCGATCTGAACGTCATCGCGCCGTCTATACCGTAATCTTTAACAATGCCGTGAAAACTGTTGCATCTCCGCGATCTCTTGGTCACCGTTGGGCTTTCGTTTATCGGTAGATTCGGTCGTTTAAATGTTTGAACGAATAGATTTTCATCGATAAAATCGTGGGAGATTCGTCTACGCCGAGCGATTGGCACTGATACAGCAACTGGACTACTGATATCTTCGAAACCAGGATTGCTCGTCGACGAGCTCGCATTAGGAGAACGAAACAAACAGGAACGTACTTTTGAAAGGGACGAGCATTTCCGATTCTCCTGTCTTTCGTTTTCTAATGACAACGAACGTCTGAAATTACCGCTGCTACCGAAATCGGTACGAGGAAATTCAGGCGTACTCGGATTACTCGAACTGATCTTGGCCGATAACGAGTCAGAGATTTCGGCTTCGGTGTTGGCAACCACGCTGACGATATCACCGCAAAGCAAAGTCGAGATACCGTTCGGTAATTGCGCCACATCGTCCGAACTACTTTCCACGTCTATCAGATCGTTGAATCCATCGTCCATACTCTCGTAGCCGGACGAGAGGCTACGAAAGAGGGAAGGTCGCGTGACTCGCCTCCGCCGTGGCGACGATCGCACCGGTGATTCCATCGAACTTCGAGATTCGATGAACATTCGCCGCGGAGCAGCGGCTAAAGGTTCCGCGAATCGAAACCTATCTCGCCTCGACTTTTCCTCTCCCTCTGGATAATTTACTTCGTATCCACTGTCTTGACTGTTAGGATCGCAATCTTCCAACGGATTGCGGGCTCTCTTTGTACCGATAATCTGTAACACGCGAACGAAATAAAATGCATCGATTAAATTAGAATTGGCCATCCTAATCCATTTATTCTTATCGAAATCACTCGCACCGATTTTCATCCTTGACCGATATTAGATAGGTAATATAATCGGCATTGCGTATGGCCAAGTAGGAAACATCGAATAACACTAGACAATTTAAACTCGATCGATCGATAGACTGGACCTTATTCGATTCCATGCGGAATACAATTTCATACCAAATGGAAATTTCGCATTCTGTTTACACCAACAACGACGTTGTAAACAGCTTTAAATGTATTTAAAACCGTCATACGAAATGTACATACGGATTTCGAAGATTTTCAACATTCAAAGAATATGTACCATTTTATTTCATTTTTTCCTCTTTTTTCCCTCTTTTCTCTCTTTCTCTCGCTCTAAAACAACGGAATAAAAGGTGTCATTTTACGTTTACATGTAATTTAAGGAAAGAAACGAGTTTGAACAAAATTGGAAAAAAAGACTAAGTAGAAATGGGAAAAAGAGAAGAGAAGAGAAGAGAAGAGAAGAGAAGAGAAGAGAAAAGGAAAGAAAAGGAAAGAGGGAAGAAAGTACACGATAACGTATAACGCACCTTTTGTAAAGTAGTACCATGCGGACTGCAAGGAGAACTATTATTTTCTTTGTCGGTAGATGGCGAGACAGGCTCTGGCCTCGGAAAGTGTCGCGAAGCCATGCCGAGTAGTCGTCGTGCTTTTGGTCTGGTCTTTGCCGCGTCAGCCGGAGAATTTTTTAATTTAAACGCATTTTTGAAAAGCCTATAAAAAAAGAAAATCGTTAATACATATGTCTGTATAGAGATACATTTGTGTACACGCGTTCAGAAAGCTGATATCGATATGACAGTGAACCTAACCTCGTTAACTATGCCAATAAAGATACGCATTTCGCAGGTCATAATCGAGAACACACGATTCGTCGAATCGAAGAAATTTATGGCTACACCGAATTTCATCGGACACGTTTTCGTATGCTTTATCACACACGCACACACGCACACACGGAAACACGGAAACACGGTACCGGTATTTTTCCCACGCAATAATAACCAATGAAACAACACTTTCTACAAATAACCCTGAAGTCGATTACTTTTCTTGCATTCTTTGAACATTGTTACGCAATTTTCAAATATAATAATACTTGAAATGTTATTGCACGTGTTTTCCACGGTTAGGTAACATAATTTACAGGAAAGCTGCGTTCGCTTCGTTAACGAAATTTTTGTACACTTACCGCGGAATACGATTTAATATACTACACGAGGACATATTAGGAACGCGAGCGCGCCAAAATATGCGCGCGTGCGCGCGTACACCCATATACATTCGGTAAGCGCGCAAAAGCTTCGTCTTTGGACAATGTGGCATACGCTCGACACGAGAAACATCGAGGTTTTATCTCATAGTTTAAAAACGATCGTTTGATATCGAGAAGAAGACGCTGGATAATGAATGAAGCGGTAAAATCGATACTATTTCAATCATACGATGCAGGTTAAACGGATCACTGAGAATGCTATATAGGAAATTCGTTTGCACAAATTAGAATGCACAAACACAGAGAAATGGTGATTGCTCTGTTAAACAATTTTCGCTATATACGTATTTCACTGAGTTTTACACTTGCACGTACGCACATACATATTACATGGTTATTCACACGCATGTTGCAGCACAAAACATTGGAAGAAACGAAGAATCGACGTTTAGTTGTTTCTCATATAATAGCAGAGGATGAAGATTATTATAATATATACCTTGTACATTGGCACACTTCGCACGAATCCATAACACCTTCCCAGAACATTTTTCGGTCAGCTAGGGAAAACGAGGTTGTGCATGAAACGAATTAACAAGATGGTATACAAGAGGAATGGCGATTCGCGCAACGACCGAATAGAATATGGTCGTTTTATCCGTTGAATTTCGTATTATCGCGGAAAGGAAAGGCGGTGCACAAAGGTTCGGGCGATAACTCGCCATGCATCACGTCGAACCCCGACACGAAACGACGTACAACCAGTTCGCAAAGTCACGTACTAACTGATCGTTGTGGCGGGAAGTCTGTCTTTATACGTGCTAATCGCGCCTGGTGGGGGGAAAGGGCCGACCAATCCGAAACTGGGAAAGGGCCCGCCTAAATCTTCTCAGGGCGAGCAGGGAGAACGGAACGCGGAATCCACTCTTTAGGGCAACCGCTATGGGGGGGCCCTTTCTGCCTCTTTGCCGCCGCGTTTCGTTACATCCGTCTGTTCATTTGTTCGATCGTTCGTTGATATTTATTAACCGGTGAAATGTATATTTAGATTTCAAAGGAAAAATTCCGTCGATGACTAAAACTGCCAAGTCTATTTAACTTTAGTAACTGAAAACTGCTTTCCTGGCATATTTTCATTTACTTGCAACCTTTTCAAGCATATCCTGCCTAACTCGTTGCTTCTCTCTATCCCTATTTTCACAAGATTTATTTCACGTTTCAAGAGATATCGCAATAAGAAGAAGAAGAAGAAGAAGAAGAAGAAGAAGAAGAAGAAGAAGAAGAAGAAGAAGAAGAAGAAGAAGAAGACGAAGAAAGAGTGATAGGAGGTGGAAGAAGGTGATGATGGGGAAGAAAGAGGAATGGGTTTAAGTGAAGAAGGTAGATGCGTTGGGAACGAAGAAGGTGGGAAGAAGTGGCGACGTCGGGGAGTCGAGGGTGAGGAAGAGGAGAAAGAAAGAAGAGGATGGAGGGGTGGGTGGTTGCGGGTTCGTTGCGACGGGGTGCCGCGGGGGGAGGGGGGTAGCCGGCGGGGCGAGTGTGAGGGTTGGGTGCCGGTGAACAAGGGGAGGG